GAATCCACTTTTGCCCAGATCTTCATCTTGAAATTAAGACAGGAACTGAAGAGGAGACAGGAGAAAGAAATGTTGACACAGCAATATAATTGGCTGTACATGAATTAGGGAAGAAGGAGGCCAACAATGAACTAAATGAAGTTTTGAAAACTCAACTCAATCTACGTGAAAATTTCTAGAGGTGCTAGTTTCAGAAGGTAGTTGGTAGAAAACAAAAACTATGGTGGGAGAAACAGTTGTTGGTGATTCTACTGCCTCACCTCTCAGAACTTATTATCAGGCCACATGAGAAACTTAAGGCTGGGACAACCCATGGACAGAAGAACCTGGCAGGCTACAGTCCACGAGGTCATGAAAGAGTCGGACAGGACTTAACTAAACAACAACAGCAGCAATCCAGGTGAAGTAGCTGCGCCCCACCACGGGCCCACAATACAGGTGAGCTCAGCAGGCTTTCACAAAGGAATCACAGCTAAAATTCAATGTGCATTCTTCTGGCATATGGGCTCATCAGCGATCCAAATGGGGTGGATTCAAGGACTGGAGATTTTCATTATGATCATCAGGGACATCTTCAACTTCATTTATCATGCAACAAATTTTGATTGGGCACAGCATTAAGAATTGTTTAGAAGTTGAGTATATAGAGAATATATGATTTTGAAGCTGAAAACTCCAATACTTTGGCCACCTGATGCGAAGAGCTGACTCATTTGAAAAGACCCTGATGCTGGGAAAGATTGAGGACAGGAGAAGATGGGGACGACAGAGGATGAGATGGTTGGATGGCATCACCAACTCCATGGACATGAGTTTGAGTAAACGCTGGGAGTTGGTGATGGACAAGGAGGCCTGGCGTGCTGCAGTTCATGGGGTCACAGAGTCAGACACGACTGAGTGACTGAAGTGAACTGATATAGAGACCAAAAAAAAAAAAAGGCCATACTGTCATGGAGTTTACATTTTGAAGAAAAGGAAAACAGAGTAAACATGGTTTCAGGCCTTGTAGATACAATAAAGAATAGATTAAAGGGAAGAGAATAAGAGTGATTGGCATGGCAGTGGGTAGCACTGAGAAGAATTTCTGGAGAGGTGGTTTGAATGGCGACCTGCCTAAATTGGGGCATAAGTCAGGGGAAGGGGTTATAAGCAGTGGGGGAAGCAGTACAAGGAGCCTGAGACAGTACTATTTTCTGATGTGTACAGCAATATGGTTGGCATGGTTTGAGTAGGACAAGCAAGAGTGGGAATGGTAAAAAGTGAGGTGAGAGAAGCAGGTGAGGACCAGACCATTAAAGCTTTGATTGAAGGGGTGGGATATCAGGATTTTATTTTTCATGCAGTGTAAAACACTGGAAGACTCTGAACACAGGAACAATATGTTCTTACTTTCTGAGTTGAGATTATGAGTCAAGGGTTAAAATGGGAGCAACATATAGGAGATTATTAGTTGATCTTGGATGGTAAGCTACAGAAGTGGGGAGAAATAATCAAATATACTTTCATGGTAAAGTCAACAAGACTTGTTATGAATAGATGTAATACATAAGAAAAACAGGAATCTAAGATGATTCCAAGGCTCGCGGTCTGGGAAACAAAGTGTCCTTTGAAATAATGGTGTCCTTCAGCTGTATATAGATTTTATTTTTCTGTTATTGTCTTGTTGAAAAATTAAACTATGCTAATATGTCCACTCTGAAAAATAGTTTGACAAGTTATTTTTTTAAAACAGAACACTATTTGTCCAAGAAATCTCTTTTCTGGATTTTTATCCCAGAGAACTGAAAAGTTATGTCCAAACAAAAAACTATACACAAACAAGGTATGCTATTCCCCACAACTGCTTCAGAACTAAACTTTGAAAATGTTCTTTTTCACAAAAGCCCTTTAGCAATGAATTTAGTGAATTTATTTATTATAATAACCAAAAACTAGAAATTATCAAAATGCCCTTCAGTGGATGAATGATCAAGCAGCAGTATATCCAAACCATGAAATACTGCTCAGGAATAAGAAGGAACAAACTATTAATACATTCAACCACTTAGATGGATTTCGAGAGACTTATGCTGAGTGGAAAAGACCAATTTCAGAAAACCACATTTTGCATGATTCCACTTATGTAACATTTTCAAAATCACAAAATTATATAGATAAAGAACAGATCAGTAGTTGCCAGGGTTAGGGAGGCTTGGGGGAAGGGGTGAGTGTGACATGAAGGAGATCTTTGAGGTAACAGGAAAATTCTGTGTTTTGATGTCAGTAGTGGTTACAGGAATCCACAAATGTGATAATACAACACAGAGCTATCCACACACTGTGTCACAGCCAATGTTGATGTTGTACTAGAGCCCTGTAAGATATAACTGTTGTGGGAAACTAAGGGAAGAGCACAAAAGTCCTCACTATTCTTTCTTTCTTTTTTTTTTTTTGGAGTTAAATTTCTTTTTCTTTTTTTTTCCCCATTTATTTTTATAAGTTGGAGGCGAATTACTTTACAATATTGTGGTGGTTTTTGCCATACATTGACATGAATCAGCCATGGGTTTACAGGTATTCCCCGTCCCGATCCCCCCTCCCCCCTCCTTCCCCACCCCATCCCTCTGGGTCTTTCCAGTGCACCAGCCCCGAGCACTTGTCTCATGCATCCAACCTGGGCTGGTGATCTGTTTCACCCTAGATAATATACATGTTTCGATGCTGTTCTCTCAAAACATCCCACCCTCGCCTTCTCCCACAGAGTCCACAAGTCTGTTCTGTACATCTGTGTCTCTTTTTCTGTTTTGCATGTAGGGTTATCGTTACCATCTTTCTAAATTCCATATATATGCATTAGTATATTGTACTGGTCTTTATCTTTCTGGGTTACTTCACTCTGTATAACGGGTTCCAGTTTCATCCATCTCATTAGAACTGATTCAAATGAATTCTTTTTAATGGCTGAGTAATATTCCATGGTGTATATGTACCACAGCTTCCTTATCCATTCATCTGCTGATGGGCATCTAGGTTGCTTCCATGTCCTAGCTATTATAAATAGTGCTGTGATGAACATTGAGATGCACGTGTCTCTTTCAGATCTGGTTTCCTCGGTGTGTATGCCCAGAATGGGTAGGGAGGTGGGAAGGAGGCTCTAACAGAAACAAACACAACATTGTAAAGAAATTTAACTCCAACAACAAAAGAAAACTGGAGTTAAATTTCTTTACAATGTTGTGTTTGTTTCTGTGATACAAAAAGAGCCAGCCGTATGTATACACACATCCCCTCCCTATTGAGCCTCCTTCCCACCTCCCGACCCCCACATCCCATTCCTCTAGGTTATCACAGAGCACCAAACCGAGCTCCCTGATCTCTGCAGCAGGTTCCCACCATCTACCTATGTAACACACACAGTGTATAAATGTCACTCCTCTCCCAATTTGTCTTATCCTCCCCTTCCACTAGGCTATCTTTGCAAATTTCAGTGAATCTATGATTACTTCAAAATGAATTCTTTTTCTACTTAGCCATGCTCAAGTATAAGGCAAAATGCATTATATAAATATTAAAAAGTAGCATAATAATAAATACTACATCTGACAAAATGTTGTCTCCTGAATTTATAAAGCACCTCTTCTGCCAATACGTCTTATCACTTTCGGTATGTAGGCAGCAGTTCAATTAAGAGATCATCAAGATCTCCTGTGAGAACATTTTCCTCCTAAAAGCCTGTGGATCAAACATCCCTTGGAACTGACACTCTACCTCTCGTACCTTTAAGCAGCAAAGAGAACCTGTGTGTTCTTGTTTCTGTACCCAATTAAAAGAGTATGGAAAAAAAACACTGCTAACATCAGTGTCCAGTAACTTGCAGACATTCTGAACTCTGCAAATTACCTTGTTTAGACCCAATATACTGAGCTTTCACAAATCAACTGACATTCCTAGACTCTAACATTTTTCCCATTCAGTTCAGTTCAGTTCAGTCGCTCAGTTGTGTCTGACTCTTTGCAACCCCATGAACCGCAGCTCGCCAGGCCTCCCTGTTCATCACCCATTAATGCCAAAATATAAAATTGTATAACACGGAATCTCAAAAACGATGGCTTAGACCAAAAACAATTAACATGACCCAGAGGCTACATAGTAACACTAATCATAACTTCAGTCCTGAGGTTACTCCAGGTCTCAGAACTAGGCTCGGATAAATCATCCAAGTCAATGAGATACATGGTGTATATGGTGGTGAAGTCCCCCTCAAAATCTCCTTTTTCAACAGCTTCTTTTGTATATATTTCCTTAACATTCTGATCTCCTGCATTGTCCAATCTCAGTCTGATGGTGGTGATAGAATACCTGGTCCTTCACTCCTGTAGAGAAGCATCCTACTCCCAAGAACATCATCAAGTCATTTAGTACTCAGGTCTGCATGCCTCATCCTAGACACATTCATCATTGCTGAATGCACTGACAATTACTAATCCTTTCATTCTCTTATAATGGCATATATTCCACCTAGAATTCTGTAATGAAGACTAGATTTATAAACACTTTTATTAGTCTAAACTGTACAAACCTACATAAGACTATTAACTAAAACATTTTCTAAATAAGCTATCTCACATCACATCCTGTCTACTTTTCAGAATTTAAAGCACTGTCAACAAAACCTATGGAATATGCCAGACACTGTCTTTCTTGATGTTGTTCTTCCTTTAGAAATAGCTATGCTGGGTACAATGCTATAAACAGAATTAAATCAAAGAGATACCATTCTGATTTTTTTATCACTCCATTCATACTGTTTTTCAGGTGCCAATACATCCTAAAGGGTAAAATATATATCAGTTTGCATTTCTCTTTTCTAAGGCTGAATAAAAATTAAAGCAAGGTAAATGAAATGGATTGAATATCCTTCTGAAGACAAAGTAGTTTCATTTTACTTCTATCCAAGATTGGAGCTGGAGAGCTGCCAACAATAATACTTTAAAAAAAAAAAAAACAGAAAAGATACTTACAGCCAACCATCATCATGGCCACTGAAAACATCTTCTCCACATCTGTGGTAGGAGCTATGTTCCCAAATCCTATGGTTGTAAGGCTTGTCATGGTAAAGTAGAGAGAGGATACATACAGGGAATCCTTGCTGGGTCCTCCTTCCCACATCCCTGCACTGGTGTTGTACCGATATGGAGTCCCAATGCTCAAGGCCAGCTGGTAAAGCCAACTGTCTATTTGGATGGTGTTCGTGACTTCATCGATGACCTCGTAGTCCCCGATGCTGTACCATATGCAGGCCAGCCAGTGAGCAACTAGTCCAAACACACAAACCAGGAGCACAAGGACGGCGGCTCCATACTCCAGGTAGTGGTCCAGTTTCCTGGCAACACGGCCCAGTCTCAAGAGACGCACCACTTTTAAAGAACTGAAGAGACTGCTGATTCCCTGAATCAAAGAAAAGAAATGATACAACACTTTCAGAAAAGCAAAGGCTGGTGAAAACAAAACAATGGCTCACCTTAATGAACTCAAGTACAATTTATATACTAATAACATACACATACATAATACAGCTCTGACTTTAAGCCAACGAAAAAGTTTAAATGATAAAGTTTTTACATGCAGATTCCTTCCCACCAGGAAATAAGATATTTGTGAATTATTAGATGTACAAAAAAGTTTCATTAGGTAAGACCCAGTTTATTTTCATAAGGGGAGTATAAATAGCACAGAGAAAAACCAAAGAAGAAAATAGCTCAGATGCAATACACAGAGTATAGAAATAGGGTGACAAATTCAGACCTTTCATTTCTTCTCCTTGTAAAATGTTTCCTCTACTCTAAAAGATTTTATTTCTTACTTTATAAATGCTATGAACAGCAAAACTTCTGAAAAATGGAATCCTAGTTTTACTGTCAAGGAAACAGGAAATATTTCTGCGTATATTAGGAGAATGAGCAAATGTCACTGCTGCTTCCACCACCTCCTGCCAGTTATGAAAATCACTAAATTTGTAGAGCTGTGAAAAAGTGAAGAGTTGAACCTAGAATGGGATATCTATGAAATCCTATCATCCTCTAGCAATAGTCATAGAAAAGAATACTATAAGGGAATAGCAGCAAGAAGATTCATATTTTGTTGAGAAGCTCAAAATACCAAATAGAGAATTATCCAAATGGAAACACAGCATAGACTTTTTTCAACACACCATAGACTTTATTCAGTCCATGAAGTTCCCAAATTTACTTTTTTTGCAAAGCATGTAATAAGCCACTCAGAGAGGTTAACGTCATTCCTGATGCAGAAGAGGAAGACAAAACAGTGACCCAAGACCCTCTCATCTGATCATCACTTCAATTCTCACAGAGTCCATGACTTCCTTACTGCTAATTCTGTCTCCCAGAGAGGAGACAAGGAATCTAACATAACCTGAAAGTGAAGTAAAAGCATCAGCTGTTGAGTTGTGTCCAACTCTTTGTGACTCCATGGACTGTAGCCCACCAGGCTCCTCTGTCCCTGGAATTCTCCAGGCAAGAACACTGGAATGGGTAGCCATTCCCTTCTCCAGAGGATCTTCCCAACCCAGGGATCAAACCCAGGTCTTCTAAATTGCAGGTAGATTCTTTACCTAATCTGAGCTTAATTCTGATCAACATAGAAGAACTTGGTAAAATAGAACAGAGGCAATATTAATGAGACTCTAATTATGGCACTGTATAGTTACAAAGAAAAAGGTTAAGAATGCATTTTATTATACTCTATATGATGGTATATGTTTAAAATTTTGCAAAAGAAAAATGTGAAATAGAATGAAAACAAAGAGAAGTACAAACAGGAGACCTAGTGGAAGCAAAAGAGGAACAGGAGCATCCTGTCTCAGTTTTCTGTCTCAAGCTCAATATCCTCAGGCCTGGCTCTATTTAGATTCTTATTCTCAAAGGCTGTGGCATATACACAGTCTTAAATCAATTCTTATTTCACTTGAACACTTGGGGGAGGGGAGATATTGAACTTCAAACAGTTCGAAAGGATAGCATCAATAAAATTCAGATGATGAATGGCATCATTCAGTGATATGAGATATTGAGAGGTAAGTAGATTCAAGAGAGTCTGGAAGCTCTCAAAACAAAGGAACTATGTAATCACGAACAAGAACAAAATAAGTATTTATCAAGCATTTCTATATGTCAGGCTATGAGTTGGGCCCTGGGGACATTAAGACAAATATGCCTTGCTTCTGCTGTAAAGAAACCTATAGTCAAAATGCATGAACTCAAACAGGGTTAAATTAAAAAATAAATACAGTGCTGTAGATGTTTTCTTTCACTTGGCTCCAATTTTTTAAAGAACTGTGGTACTTCTATTTAAATACTACAGAGAAAATGTATTTCTACCATAATTTTTTTTCTAAAAACAAAGGAAAAAGACACAGAAACTTTATCCCCAAATCAAACTAAAAAATAGTCACAACCTTCAGCTAGACTGTTAAGAATCAGGACCTACTAGAATTAGGGCCAAATGAGGGAAGAACACACTCTCTTGACCTCTGATGTGAGCAGATCTCTACAAGAGAAGGTGATCCACCCTGAGGACCACCTGCTCTAGACTCCAAACAATCAAAAGGCACTATTTTCTGTAAACATGTTCAATATCATTTCAATATTACAAAATACTTGGTAAGAATTGTAAAGGGTTCTATGATACCACTTCCTCCTAGATCTTAGTCACCTCCCCACTGACATCTCTTGCAAAATCATTTTCTGAGGCTAGCCTTATCCCTGCTTCTATTATGCATTAGGATTCTCAATACAATTACCCTCAACCTCTCCTGGTTGATTTACTGCCTATCCATGTTTCAACTGACTTCAATACATGAAGGATTCACAGCACAAAACTTAGCACAAAACTCTTTCCCTAAGTTCCCGATACAGAAGCCAAATGCCTGCTGCACATTTCCATTTAGGTATTCCATAGGTGTTCAACAGGTAAACGTCCCAAAGGGAATCTCTTTTTTCCTGAATCAGTTCTTCATCTGCTTCTCTTGTGAACAACATCACTATGAACCCCACCCCCTCTCCTGCCACACTCAGACAGTTATCAAGTTTTGAGAATCTCAGCATTCAAACTTCTCAAAATAAATCTCAATAAATCTCTCAAAAAATGTCCCTTCTTTCCCATTCCCAAGGTCATGTCTTGGCTATGGCTTCATGGTGTTTCTCCCTGTGTGACAGAAAAAGGCTCTCCATCAGTCACCCCAACTCCATTCGCACTGCTTTTACTTATCTGATAACCCTGGAGAGGCTAGCCTGGTATTGTTTTATATTTTATTTTGTTTATTTATATTTTATTTTGTTTATTTATATTTTATTTATATTTTATTTTATTTATAAAATATTTTCTATTTTATTTTATATTTCATATATATAAATATATGTATATACATATATATGTATGTATGTGTGTGTATATATTTATATATATACATATATATGTATGTATCTGTGTGTGTATATATATTTATATATATATACATATATATGTATGTATGTGTGTGTGTGTATATATATATATACATATATATAAAAACATGTCCCTCTCTGACCTAAAATCTTTGGTGTTAGCTCACTACATAAAGGATTAAGAGTTTGCTCCTTACTCTGACATGAAAAGTTCTTCAGGACCTTGCATCTGTCTATCTGGTCAGCATGTCCGCCAGCAATCCCTCCCTATGCTATCTCGGCTCACGCCATGCTCCGCTATGTAGAGCTCCCAGAGTGCCCGTGCTCTTCATGCCACACTATAAGTTGTTCCCTCTGCTTAAAGCACCCTTCCCTCCCACTGTCTTGGTAGCCAGGGCCTTACTTAGAGTTTATGACAAAGACTCTCTCCTCCATATGCATTTCTCTGACATCTTCCTCCCCAACCTATCATCTACATGGTCATACCCACTGTGAAAGTCAGGTATTCTTCCTTTGTGTTATTACATACTCTCTGCTCATCTATATTACAATAATTATCACAATAGTACTTTATTACAAGGCTCCGTTTGTGTGAAAACATGCCAGGAAATGCTAAATCACTTGAAGAACATACCCAGTATCAATTACAAAGCTTGTTGTTGATGTTATTCAGCTGCTCAGTTGTGTCTGACTATTTGTGACCCCATGGACTACAGCACACCAGGCTTCCCTGTCCTTCACCATCTTCTGGAGTTTGCTCAAACTAATGTCCATTGAGTTGTTGATGCCCTCCAACCATCTCAACCTCTGTTGTCCCCTTTTCCTTCCTGCCCTCAATCTTTCCCAGCATCAGGGGCTTTTCCAGTGAATCAGCTCTTCACATCAGGTGGCCAAAGTATTGGAACTTCAGCTTCAGCATCAGTCCCTCCAATGAATATTCAGGACTGATTTCCTTTAGGATTGACTGGTTTGATCTCCTTGCAGTCCAAGGAATTCTCAAGAGTCTTCTCTAACACCACAGTTCAAAAGCATCAGTTCTTAGGTACTCAGGCTTCATTATGGTCCAACTCTTACATCTGTACATGCCAACAGGAAAAACCATAGCTTTGACTGTATGGACCTTGGTCAGCAAAGTAATGTCTCTGCTTTTTAATACACTGTCTAGGTTTTTCATAGCTTTTCTTCCAAGGAGCAAGCATCTTTTAATTTCATGGCTGTAGTCACCATCCACAGTGATTTTGGAGCCCAAGAAAATAAAGTCTTTTAGTGTTTCCATTGTTTCCCCATCTATATTGCATGAAGTGATGGGACCAGATGCCATGATCTTTTTTGAATGTTGAGTTTTAAGCCAGCTTTTTCACTCTCCTCTTTCACTCTCAAGAGGCTCTTTAGTTCCTTTTCACTTTCTGCCCTAAGAGTGGTATCATCTGCATATCTGAGGTTACTGATATTTCTCCTGGAAATCTTGATCCCAGCTTGTGATTCAGTCAGCCTGACATTTCACATGATGTATTCTGCATATAAGTAAAATAAGCAGGAAGACAATCTACAGCCTTGAAACATTCCTTTCCCAATTTTGAACCAGTCTGTTGTTCCATGTCCGGTTCTAAGTTTTGCTTTTTGACCTGCATACAGGTTTCTCAGGAGGCAGGTAAGGTGATCAGTTTACACAGTTTATTCCCATTTTTAAGAATATTCCACAGTTTGCCATGATCCACACAGTCAAAGCCTTTAGCATAGTCAATGAGGCAGAAGTAGATGTTTTTCTGGAATCTCTTGCTTTTTCTATGATCCAACGGATTTTGGCAATTTGGTCTCTGGTTCCTCTGCCTTTTTTTAATTAAACACAGCTTGTACATCTGGAAGTTGTTGGTTCATGTACTGTTGAAGCCTAGCTTGGAGGATTTTGAGCATGACCTTGCTAGCATGTGAAATGAGTGCAATTGTGCATTAGTTTGAATACTCTTTTGCATGGCCTTTCTTTGG